TAGACCTTTGATTAAATAACTTTAACCCAAGCCTACAACCAAACAAGGAACAGGAAATGGGGTCAAATTACATATTCTAAATCTTCTGAATCCAAATTATATAATTTACACATATATAAATATGTAATTTTGATAATTATAACAATTTAAAAAAAAACTAAAAACATTAAAAACATTTTAGATATTAACACAATTTTTATTGTGTTTCATTTGTATTCCCCCCTAAAACAGTTAAAAATCATAAAAATGTAGGGGTATGAACTCACTTTTGTGAGTGATTCGATTGAAGGTTAGATTTAGGATGTTTTTCCACAAGTTAGATTCCAAAGCAAAACGAATCCTATAAGCACTTCATGTAATATATATGTATACTTTTAGTGAATATAATCACAAATATGATAAGGAAATGGACTAATTTGTAAGTTTAACTTACAAATAAGAGTGTTAGAAGCAAAATGGATGGCTGATTGGAGTTTACGGCCAGAAGCTGTTGATGTTCTTGGGTTTTCGGCCACCTTCAATTGTGTGTTCTTGGTGTTCTTGGTGAAAACAAGAAGATTCAAGGGTTTTCGGCTCAAATTATGAAGATTGTTAGTGTTTGTAAGTTGAGTTCAAGAGAATTTCACATGAAATTCAAGAAAGGAAGAAGTTTCTCATGTTCTTGAGGAGAGAGGAGGTTTTTGGTTGATGATACTTGAGAGAGAATCCTTGAGTTTTCGGCTGAGAAGTGTAGAATGAAGGAAAAAATCAGTCAAACACATATATATACATAATGGATTGCGACCGAGAACAACTTCCGAGGAGATAAGATCTTCGGGTTTGCGGTTGCGAAGGGTTCACGACTGCGAAGGGTTCACGGCTGCGAACCATTTGCAGCAAGAAGAGTGTTTGTGGTCCGAGGAGAAGAAGGAAAAGCGAGGCTTCTCAGTTTTTAGGTGATTTTAGCTTATATTTTATACAACACTTTATTAAGTGTTTAAATGTATCAAACATATTTCTTTTAACTTTATTAAACTAATAATTCATCAAGTTTGACTTTTATTTGATCGGTTTGACTTGAGCTGACTTTTACAATGTAGAAAATAACGGGATGTTACAATGGTTGTTTATCTATGGTTTATTATGGAAACGTTTTCATAAAAATAAAAATTTTTATCATGATTTTTGGGACGTTACAAATTTGAACATGAAATTCTCTTTCAAACATTTTTGCAAACACCTGCCATACAACATATATAGACAACAAAGAATCAAAGCTCGCTCATATATAAAGAAACAAAGAGAATTTAATTTAAACAAATATTCATGCTCTAATTTCTTGCTTGTAAACATGTATAATGCAACTAAATAAAAAAATTAAAGCAAAGCAATAAAAACTTCTGACATGAACAAATATCCATGCTTTAGTATATATTCAATATAATGCTTAAAGTCTCTTGTTGTTGTTGTATTTGTTGTTAAATCATAAAAAATACTTGTTATGTTAGATATTACTAAGATTATTTTTTTATTTTTTATTTCCTATAACATGTAGTATGTTATTATTTATATGAAGTGTTATAATATTTTTAATTTTGATAAAGATAAAATACATTTTACAAATTCTTGCTAAATAAATACATATGTATTATGGATAACCAATATAACTTTTATTATACTAAAATAGTTAAATTAATTAATCACAATGCTTTCCGAAATAAAATATGATTTTTATTTCACTTAATTGAGTAAATGATAGACCTATCAATGGGGCGGGTTTTGACATGATTCGCTCCAAACCCATAAGAATTTTACGGGTTTAGATTTTAATTTTTGATTCGTTTAACCGTTTACGATTTATACTCTTTTACCCTTTTATTAAATGGGTTGGGTTTGGATCATTATCGATTCGAACCACTTATAACCCGCTCCATTTATATATATATATATATATATTATATATATATATATATATATATATATATATATATATATATATATATGTTATTATTGTATTATATTTTGAGTATTAAGTAATGTTTATTGTAATGGTTTTGAGTATTAAGTAATTTACATCATGTTTAAGTAGATATTTTTTTTTTAGTAATATTATTTTGTGGCACACATCAAAATTGTGGAAGTTTTAATATTGTAAAAGAGTCGGGTTAATTGACCGGATATTCGTTGATTCGGTAGATACGGATATGGATTCGATTATTCAAAAACTTGAGGATTATTTGAACGTGACAGGTCATGTTTTAAAAATTTTTAAAGGGGTTGGATCAATGATTATTTGCTTCAAACTCACCCATTGAGAGAGGTCTATTAAATGATTGACCAGACAAAGTTTATGATCGATGAGCCCAAGCATTTATTTTTTTTGGACCATTAACTTTTTGAACACATCTAATAATTACAAAGGACTTGGAGCGAGACATACCAAAATTTGATACAATATAAATGAAGATAAATAATAAACGGTTTAAAAATTATATATATATATATATATATATATATATATATATATATATATATATATATATATATATATATTATGTACATAATTTTCTTTCTCTAATAAAAGACTTATTTTTAGTCATGTGTCTATATATTAGACATCATTCATATTCAACTGAAATTACCACCTTACCCATACTTAATCTTAGCAATCCTGTTCTTCTCCCTTAATATCGACTCCAAAAATTGATACGATATTCAAATTTTGAAATCCATAAATGCTAGGTATCCCTAAATCTGGGTATAATCGGCAACCATCTCTTTTTCTTCCTTGATTAACAATATTGCCTCCTCTTCTTATATCTACCCTCTCGCCGCCAATGTTTATCATGCTTGAAAAAGTTCGACAACAATATTATACTTGAACTGCAGACCAAGAGAAATGAAGTAACATTAATTTATTAAATATTTTTTCTTATTTTTGGTTTAATTATTTTCATGAAGGAACATAAATTTATTAAATATTTGTTCTTATTTTTGGTTTAAACCTAATCCAAGACGTAGGATCCCAATGAAGATGACAAATGCGGAATCGAAGAATCAATGCATAATCGATAAGACCCGGTTTAATGTTTAAGAACAGTTTGTATAGATAATGAGTAAAATACAAAAATGTAGAAACATGTGCTTGCTTACTACACTACTCTCTCTCTCTCTATCTCTATCTTTCTCTCTCTATAACTAATCTAGAAATCCATACAATTGGAGCTCTCTCAAACCTATACATGAAAACTATACAAGTATATATAGGCAACCTCTACCCAAAAACTCATATAACAAAGGGTAAGCCTAAGACACCATCCAATGGAGAGCTTTGCACTCTAACATTCTCCCATTCAAAGCTTGAAATAGATGACCCGACTTCAATATCCAAAAATAAGCAACTTTGCGACCAAGACCTCAAGCGTGACAAATGTAAAATCAACCAACAAATCATCAAATATTCAATGATCTTCTAATCCATGTTATAGAATGTGAGACAATACAATCCAAAGCATCAAAAGGTAATTTTTGAGTCCTCGAGTATCCAAAACTCCAAGGATAACTACCCAAGTTTGAGCCAAAAGACACATCCCAAAAATCTTCATTATGTCCAAACCCTTCATAGAAACGGAAAACCCGAACCACTTCAGAATTTACAATTCAAATCACTTCATAAACAATTTTCTTCAAGGTCACATCGGTCTTCAATCAAAAATGATCATTCGCCTAAAATGAATATCCAAAAACTTGCGATTTCGAATACCCATTTCATAATCTTTCCCCCTTTTTATAAACGAAATATGATTTGAAAACTCCAAATACGAATGAGAAAGTGCTCAATGTGGATTTGGCATTACAATCTCCCCCTCGATACGAGACAAAAATGAAGCAACGAATCCGGAAAAATCGAAAAAATATCGTCAATTTTTCGAAACTTGACTTCCTGGACCCCTTTTCACCTCAAATATGAACACAATTGTTCATGTTGCTGGAAAATGTCTTGCAAGAATAAAACTCTTGAAGTCCCCCAAAAAAATCTCCAAAAAAATGGAATGATTTAAGTTTCTGGGTAAAAAGTAACTTTTCTGAAATTGCAGGGACTAAACTTGAAAATTCTGTTATCTTGTTTCCCTTATACAATCCAGATGCAAGATAGAATTAACGAACACATCATCAATCGAAACTTCCACCATTCGACTTGAAAAAACTTCCAACTTTCGACTCGAAATTTTTTAACATTCCAATCGAAACTTTGGACTTTAGTTTTCTGCCTTTGCAACCCAAACTTTCGACCATAAGCTCTCCTGGATACATTTCTGGTATACGATCTTAAACATATTATGATCCTTAAACTAAGAAAGGTCGTGTTTTTGTTCCCTGATTTCACTAGGATAGGGAAGTCACAAATACACTATAACAGATATTGGCTCTAATAAACATTGAAACTCGCATCAAATCGTCCCACACAACACTAGCAAACTAGGTCTCAACATAACAATTTAAAAACTTTTAAATAGATTCAATTTTAGATTATTATTTCAAATCTTTGTAATAATTTTTTAAATCCTAGTCATTTTTCCAATTTTTATCGGAAAGCTTTTATTCATAAATTCAACCCCTACCCTATACTTATTTGATTCAATGTCCCCATTGCATACTTAAACAGTTAAAGACAATAAAAATAAAAAGGAGGAATTTGAACAGACTCCCCTGGAAAAGTTTGTACATCTCGTAATAATGGTTGGAATCAGAACTACTAGACTCTTTTCTCGTGAATGTTAATATGCCGGATCAAAATAAACCAAAGAACCGTCTTCAAAAAGTGTGTTGAACCTTAACCACGACGTGGTAAATCAACACCACGTCATGGTGTCAAGTAAGAAGTCGTCATGCTCGTGAAAAATAAGAATGTCATGACATGTTCTAGTGATGCCACATCGTGGGTATAGGTCTGATGGAATTCAATCATGATAAAAACAAATGCCACAACATGGTAGTGATTCCCACGTCGTGGTGACTTGTCAAAACCTTTCTCGTTTGTAGGCAACTAGTTTGTTGAATGCCTTTTTCAAGCTTTCTGGCATTTTCAGGTTGACATCTTCATTATGTTTCCGCTTGGGTTTTTTCTTCATTCCCATGTCTTTAACTTTTTCCTTGTCTTTCTCTGGGTTTGTCTTGTCAAAATGAGACTCATCATTCTCTTCTTCCTTTTCTTCAGTTGTCTCTGAGGCGTGATCTGGAGGTCTTGTAAAAGCAAACACCTCGAAAATCATAGGCGTTGAAAAGGGAGGTTTTGAATGATTTTCTTCTTTTTCCGATTTCTCTTTGGGTAAAGGCTCCTCCCATTCCTCCCACTCTTATTCCTTAACTCCTTCATATTCATCATGCTCAAGGAACTTTGTGTTTTCTTGTTTCACCAAATTTGAATTGGCACAAGATGGGTAAAGGAGAGGTGGTCGATACGGCTTAACGACAGAAAAATCATAATCTTCCTTCAGTGCCCACGACGTGGCACTATTGCCTCCACGTTGTGGCGACTGGGCAGAGTCACGACTCCTCTCCTCTTTTTCTTTTCCTCCAAGTGACTGATTGGACTACTGATCAATTGAATCAAGGACCCCCATATGCTCCAATTCCTCCTTTTCTTCTGTATAAATAGCCATGACTTGAGAGATTGGAATTGGATCGACCTTTCTTGAAGGTGTATCCAATAGCTTTTCTTGCAAAAGCTTTGTTAATTCCTTGATATGTGTGTGGATTCTCAAAATAGATTATCTTTGTTCTCTAAGTGTTGCATCTGTAGCATCATGTCATTTTTCGCTAGCTTCCATAAATCTAAATAGCATTGACTTGAGAGCAGAAATTTTCTCGGATTGGACTTGTTCTATTTGGTAGAGATCATGCTTTAATTGTTAAATTTCTTTTGTATCTCGATCTCTCCTGTACTCCAATTCACAATCCCTTGTAAAATGGGGTCCCCAAGAAGCTCTGCATCTATCTTGAATTGATCCACCCATTTTTGTGATCCTTTCTTCCATCGCGTCGAGCTTTGCAATTACTGAACTGATAGCATCTTGACCTCCATCTTTACTTGATTTCCTCTAGTGAAATCCTCATTTGGGTTGTGATACTCTCTTGAATGCTTAGAGAATTCGTCAATCAAAGCTTTATTTGTTGTCGGATCCTTCTTTGTCATGGTCTCTTGAGAGTCTAGAAGTTGGCGAGTGCACACATTGACTCCATCATAAAATATCGAGATTTCTTGTTGCACATTGAAGTCATGTTGATTGAAATGTCGTAATAATCTCTTGTAATCCTCCCAAGCTTCGTATAACGACTCCCGTTCTAATTGTTGAAACTTTTGTATGGTTCTTTTAAGCTTCACCACTTTTGAAGGATGGGTAAACTAGTTTATGAACTCAGTCTTAAAATCAGCCCATGTCGTGATTGCTCCAAAGGGAAGTGATTTTAACCATTACTTAGCTTCACCCTTCAGTGTAACTGGAAAAAGTCGAAGCATCACCGTATCATTACTCATGTTTGGTGCATGAAAATAGTTAGAAATTTCCACCACCTCTTCTATATGCTAATAAGCGTCCTCGTGCTCCTTCCCATAAAAAGGGAGTTCCTTTAGCATGCAAATAATGTTTCCCGGTAGTTCGAACTTTGTAGTGGTTGGGATTTTTGGTGGATCAAGACCTCATTTGTTTTCGCTCCTCATATGTCGCTTGTATTCTTCCATTGTCATGGTCGTGATGTCCCACATTTTTCTCTTGTAACATCCCAAAAATTTCAAAAAGTTTTAACTTTTCAAAACAACCCATTTACTAAAGAGGTGTTTACAAAAACCAATGTTTCCAAAACATTATTTAAAATCAGAATAGTTTACAACATAGTTTTCAAAACGTTTCCATTATCAGAGTTTCCCATATGTCATAAGTTCCAAAAACACGAGGATGTGTACGCTCATGCCTTCACCTTGCCACGGTCCACTGAAGTACCTAAAACCATAAACCAAAACTGTAACCACGAAGCTTAGTGAGTTCCCCCAAAGTACCGGCACACAACAATAACATATATACAAAAGAAAATGTTATGGGTCCAATCATCCTCGGGATGGAATACCCCATGCCGCTCAACCATTGGGTTGGAATGTCAACATACTATGGGTCCAATCAACCATTGGGTTGGAATACCCAGACCCCTCAACCATCGGGTTGGAGTGCCAACATACTATTTGTCTAATCAACCATCAGATTGGAATACCCCAGGCCCCTCAACCATCGGGTTGGAATGCCAACATACTATGGGTCCAATCATCCTCGGGATGGAATACCCTAGGCCCTCAACCATCGGGTTGGAATGCCCTGGCCTGTTGGCTTACGCACAAAACAGTGAAGCCTCAGCCACCAATCACACATGTGCACATACAACAGATAATCATATAATAGTCTACATCCAGTCAAACAGATCTAACAGATCACTGAGCATAGTAAAATCCTATCTACCAGGATACCGATCTAATAGATCATAACAAGATAATAAGATCCTATCTACCAGGACACTGATCTAACAGATCATAACAGTATAACAACATGCATAACGGGATATATTGGAACCTGAAAGTGAACCTCTAGAAATATCTAACCCTTGAAGTTCCGAATTTAGGCTTAAGTCCGAAATGGTTATGGTACGAGATGATGGAAGAGTCCGGAGTGGAGTTTGTGGTACGAGCTGAAGAAATGTTCTGAGTTCATGTGTCAGTCTGTGCATTAAATATTCTTGTCTTTAGTTTGATGTAACTTTTCATAGGACCAAGTCTTTTTGTTTACTTGGATAACCAGTATGTCAGAAGTAGTATTATTATCCGGTCCTTAGTATGTCAAACAGTTTGTACGATGTTCCTCCTTGACTATTTAAGGAGTGATTGAATGTCACACCCCCGAACCAGACGGCGGAAACGTCCGGGAACTTGTACGTGACTTCATCCTTGTAGTATCATCACATAGTATATAATTGAAACATAACATAATCATCACCACACATGTAATATAACAACATACATTGTTTACATCGAGTATTGTGTTTGAATATTACATGCCAAAATAATTAAAGTATGATGAAACAAAATATAACAAAACATCCATTAGTTTGTTCAGCCCAACCTACTTCAACGGTTTCCTGAGAATACAAGTTAATTTAAAAGGTCAACATAAAAATGTTGGTGAGTTCATAAGCATGTTTGAGAAAATGATTCGTATAACTTTGTAATCACAAGAAAATCTTGTATTTTCTTAAAATAGTTTAGTATGTTTGTGTCCGATCTTGTATTAATGCATGTGTGTTGTTGTTTTAGAGAATGCCAAAAGTGAATGAATAGAATGTAAAGAGAATGCCCCCAGACAACCCTATGTTGCATGCAAAAGAGAATGCTGGTATATCAACCCCCGAGATTGAGTGTCGGCGCGTGTATGTTCCTGAGTAATCCAAAGAGAAAAGAGAATGGTCTCCCGTAAATTGCATAATGTTAACTCCTCTAAGTGAGCCATTATAACCATACTAGATAACGACAATTTCGCCTGTCTTGGCGTTTATGGACGCCGACGGAAAATAAAATAAGGTTTTCGTCACCCTAGACTGGTGTAGTCTAACTGTAGCGAACAGCTCAGGTGTGGGGTGTCATCCCCGTATAGATCTATACACAAACCCCCGCTCTCCCTCCAAGAGACTCTGGTTATAACTACAGGCTACGATTATACACTCAATATGTGTCAACCGATACGTCTCACTAGATCCTTAATCGAATTTACGCGAAGAGAAACATATAAAACACATTCCAGGCCCAATGAACCATGTAAGTGAACAACTAAGGCTCACTAAACATGTAAGTCATTTCCAGGGCCGAAAGGAATGAGATTATATAACATGGGCCCAAAATATATGTAAAAGGACAACTAAGGCCCATTTCACATGTAAGGTATTTACAGGCCCAAATAGCACGCAAAGAGTATCCAAGGTCCGTCGAGCATGTTAATGAGTCAATGAGGCCCAACAAACATATAAAGAGTATTCAGGACCTATCAAGCATATAAATGGGCCACTAAGGCCCAATAACATGAGAATGGCAAAATTAGCCCGTTTGTTATTATATTGCTAGTATTAGCTCAATTATTTACCAAAATGGCATAAAAGGCCCACTTTTTGTAAAAATGACATTCTTGGCCCATTAAGCCAAAAATTTACAATTAAGGCCCAAATTTAGTAAAAAATAACATTTTAGGCCCCTTTTTGGACAAAACTTGCTTTTAAGGCTAGTTTTTATAAAAATAACATTTTTAACTTACTTTTGTCAAAAATATCATTTTGGCTTGATTTTTATAAATATATATATATATATATATATATATATATATATTCGGCCCATTATAGATAGTTTCATCTTTTTGGCCCAAATTTTTATATTTTCACAACTTTAACCCTTCTTATCACAAATTTACATTTTTGGCACAACTTTATTGAAAATGACATTTAAGCCCACAAAAGATCAAAAATTAAAATTTTTGGGCCCAAAACAGTGAGAAGCCCAAATAAGGCCCATTTATGAAAATGTTTACATTTTTAGTCCTTGTAAGGTCTCAAATGTCGAGATTAGCCATGTTTAGCAAAAGGATCCTTTTTGAACCCCTTACTAGCCGTGAGTTACATAAATATCCCATACTTTTGTCATTTTGTCGATTTTAGCCCTTTTCATGAAGTTTTTCTTAGCTTCAAGTAACCCAAATGTATTTTAAACCTTTTTCTTGTAAGATGAGTTGAAATGAGTGTTATGTCAAAACAATATCATCATCATTTAGTAGATCTTTAAGTCCATGAAGTTTATAACAAATAAACACATATATAACTAGAAAAACACACAAAATCATGCATACACACATAGATCTACACAAAACAACTTGTATTCTCCCCCAAAACAAAGTAAAAATCGAAAATAGGGGTATGAACTCACATTGCTTTAAAGTTTTCGGTTTTTGGTGAGGGAATGAGAAGATCTCGGCCCTAGATGTGTTCTTGAGAAGATTTTCGAACTTAGGAAGTTCTAGGAAGCATGATTCACGAAAAACATGTGTTTAGCAGGAGTGATTGAGCTTAAAATAAAGTATATCAACTTGATTTTGTATGATCTTACCACTATGTGAAGCTTGAAGTGATCTTCTTGAAAACACACGAAATACTCACGAATTTCTTGAGAGATAGAGAGTGGAAGAGTGTTGAA